TGCTAAAAGCCACATTGAAAGCAATGACCTTCAAACATTGGGGTCTACGTTTAGCAAAAGTCACCTAGTTAGTTAACACTAGAGGCTCCACCAATTGATATGGCCCTGAGCAATCAAAAYTTCCATGTGCTCTAGAAGGGGATAAAGTCCCTGTGGTGCATATGAGAAATGTRTAACAAAAAACAGTTTGGATTAGTTTTGCCTCAAGAAAAGGCAAACCCATCCATGGGATTGTTTTTGCTCAAGAACTGAGTGTGTTTGGTGAGTAATGCAGAATGAGGGGGAAATATGGTGTGTACCTTGAGAGTACCTTGATTTTTTGGATGAGAACRATCTGTAATGTTGAATTATATAATACTGGCTTCTGAATGACACTGACACTCAATGTCATAACTACCACAGACAATGWCTATGGATGCTCCAGGTACACCAGTTGTGAGCTCCTCATAGAACCCACAGTCAGGCACTGAATGAACACAATGGACACCTTGGAGGGATGGCCATTGACTAGGGAAATGTGTGTTTCTGTGTCTATACATGTATCTATGTAAAGTTGGAAGGTGTGGGATCTGGGGAGGATGTAGATGACATAGCATAAGGGAGGCATAGTGCTTGTTTTTTGGCCAGGACAGAGCTAATTTTCTCACAATAGCCTCGATGGGRTGGAGCATGGAGCCCTGTGGGTGTGTCCAGGTGGTTGTTCCATGCCACTCACCTCACAACAGGGGACTGGAAGTAGAGGGAATCTTGCTTCCCAGTAAGAGTGGGGTGGCTTTTAGTCAAAGAGAAAAACAAGGTCACAGAGAGTCTGCCTGGTTTTGTTCATTATCTCAGGGACCGCATGTAACCAGGTCAGTCTTTCACCATKTTTACATGTAAGTCACCCTTTTTTGTGTACTTTTGTTATTAACATTGTTGCTGGTACTGTTCATATTCTTATCTCATTGCTGTTTCCAGAAAATTGTTCTCATCGCAACAGAARAACACCTCTACAAGTCCATATTAAGTAACTAAAAGTTTGTGCCATCCTTCTCACTTTAACAAGCAGGGAAATGAAAATTAAATGCTAGGCAGAACAAGTCATTGCTGTTGTTCTTCCYTGGATGGAGTTAATTTTTCTTTGTGACTGTAAGGCTGCCATGGTGGGGTGATGCATTTATTTGTGAGTTGAACAAATTATTTGCAAGCAGGAATGTTTAGTGAAGGCTGCCAGAGGTGAGTGATGCCAGGTGAATAATTCCAGAGGGCAAAAATTCACGTGTAACATTTGGAAGTGTGATGCTATGTGAGATCTTTTTCTTATTTTCTCACCTTTTTTGCATGGTRTTCAAGTGTTTTATTTTCTTTGATGAGTTTACAGGACCTATCCATCTGGGATCAATTAGTGCTTTATACTGTAAGTTAAGCTTTTATTCGCTAGTGCAGGAAGGGCAGCTTTGTTTAGCTAAATTGCACTTAACAGCTTCAAGGTCACAGTATCACCTTCTTCAGAGTCAAATAGTCCAAAAACTTGAAGTCTGTGAAGTGAAGCCAAAGTGATACCAAAAGGCGCTCTGACACAGATGCRGGAAACCAAAGCTGAAAGCAGACAACAATGCAGGACACCTGGAATTGTCAGACACAGGAGACAGTACAGGTGGTGAAAACTCAATTTTCCATTCAGAACCTTCATGTAGGGGAGTGCTGTGTATTCGTGGCCCCAGATGAGGTACTCAGTGATGCAGAAGTTGTTGGTATTGCTGTAGCACTGCAGATTTGCAGATCACCCCGTGTGCTCTGCAAGAAACTGGGGAAGAATAAGGGTAGTAACTTCAGCCACTGGGTATTAGTAATGGATTTCCTGGAAACAGTTCCTCCAAGAAGATACTTTGTGTTATACAATTGCACTTCTCGTAAGTACTCCAAGTAATTGCACTRCATGGTTCTTCTTTTCTGTGGTATAAGAGCTGAATCACAAAGCATGATGCTTAATCATGGCATGTCAAAGAGCAGTATGCTTTATTTGGTGAGGATGTGTTCCTTCACAGAGGATAAATGTCATCATTTTCATTTTATGAATTTTGGATCCCGTTCCAACATGTTTCCCCAGTCTGCATTCTCTAGATGTACCCAGTAAAGAGAGCAGTGTCTGTCAAGAGAAGAGTACTTAAAGTGGTATTTGCCTGCAGTACCTGCAGTTACAGTGTTTGGGATGTGTGAATCTGCTTCCGAATTTTGGGATTTTTTTTCAATGTTCTGTACTGTAGCAGGCTATCAAAATGTCATTAGTTAGAAGGTACTCCTTTGTTTTTCARACTTTATTTTAAAAAAGAAATTACATTTCCTGTCATAATTCCTTTAGTGAAATTAATTTGAGGATCCTGTTCCCTTTATTTGCAGTTCTTGGACACACAGGGCTGTGCCTTAACTCACACAGGTATCAAGTTAGGACTCACTTTTCTTTGCTTAAGTGGAGTCTGCCTGTTCTAGCACTGCTGTGAAATCACAGTCCTTTCTTGTATTTTATTATTGCTGAAGAAGATGAGGGGGGCTGGGAGCTGGGGGCAGAGTCCTTTTGTGGAGGCTGACCCTTCTTCAGTTGGAATGCTTTTATGAGCCTAACCATTTGGCAGAAAGTGTTTATCGTTGTGTGTGTGTCGTGCTCAGAAGGTTGAGAAAAAAAAAGGTGTTTGCAGAATAGCTTTTCTTTTAACTAGCCAAACTGAGAGATCAGTGAAATGCAAGCAATGAAAATGTAGGTGTAGAAGGAGAAACAAGAAATGGTCATAGACTTAGGAATTTTTTACTTATCTTGAGTGTGCCATTTCTTGCAGAAAAATGACTACAGGCATATTTATTCTTTCATCTGCATTAAACGCTCATTGGATTTTATGGGTTAAGCTTTTTCTGATGTTTGTGTTCCACTTGGAGTACACAAAGCTAGGTGAAGKCTGAAGAGAACTTCAAATTTTTTTTTCTTAGTTTTTCTCTTCTTTATGATGCTTCCTAGTAAAAAGTTTGTTTTCTCTCCTTTTTGTTTGACAGACAGGATTCTTAGCATACCTTTGGTTTTGGTTTAGACAGTGTTCCCTAAAGTCAGCTTCAATTGTAATTTTTTCCCCACCTTCATTATCCAAAAGTGGTGACATTTCAGCATTAGGGTAAAAGATTTAAAGAAATAATTCACAATGACCAGTTGTAGGTGCAGTAAGTAGGTGCAGTGAAACTGCTGATCTTAAGTGTGTTATAAGAACAGAAAAAAGGTCTTCTGAGATCTTATTTAAGTAACAATTGCAACAGCTCACAAGACATTGATGAGATATGCCAGTTCAGGATCTTCAGGTTGTTGTTAGAGCTTTACTGAAAATCACTGTCAAGTTGCAAAAGCTTCCCTAAGTCAGAAGAGAATCAGTCATTTTGATGCTATGTTTCCCTCATCCATCACTGGAAAAATTAGTCAATTTCAGAGAATTAGTTCAACTCTCATTTTTGAAAGAAAAGCCTGAAAGTTGTGTTCCTTCTTCGACTTTATGAAGGCTGTTTTGGAGACATTCTAYGTCTCCATTTTCTGCCCTCCCCATGAGTATAGTAGTAGAAATTTGGAGCAGGGAGTGGAAAGAATGAAAGGTTACTAGCAAGAACTGAGTAGGAAAGAATAGGGGTCACTGGAAAGCTATATAAAGATGGAAAAAGTGATCCTAGGGCCTGGAAGATGAGACAGCTTCATGTGACGTAAGGCATGTGGGGATGTGTTGAAATGTGAAGCAGGCATTTCAAGATGATGCTTTTTAAGAAGCAGGAATAATTTCCACAGTGGCGTGCAAGGGCTGAGTTTAAATTAACAAGACCAAAAAAAAAAAAAAAAAAAAAAAAAAAAAAAAAAAAAAAAAAAAAAAAAAAAAAAAAAAGACATAACTGAATCAGAAAAGCATGTGGAGCATAACTTTCCTACAACAACTTATCTGTTCTTTCTTGGCTTGGTAAGTAAGTGTAGCCTTTGAAAAAATGAACTTGTGGCCAGGAAAGTTTCTGGCATTGTCTGTGTAACTATAGCATGGCTTCAGATTGAAAAATAACACTGAAGTTTGGAGTAGTTTTTGGTATGTTTATTGGATGCTAATTACACTTTGTCTAAGAAGATTTCTGTCGTGACTTATGGAATAGGAAGTGATGGATACAGAGACCAATAGGTGTCTCTCCAAAATCTCTTCTGTGGTGACTAATTTGTGGATTGTGTTGTATATGTCTGGTCTGGCTTGGAGATAAAAACAGCAATAGTCTTAGTCTAGAATTTTTTATTAGGATTCATATCTTGGACATTTACAGGGATTTCCCCCTCCACCTTGCTGTTTGTTTTCTTTGCACATAAGAGTAGAAAAAAGAAATGAATAGAACATGTCTGTGGAAGCTGGACTGACCTTGGTGAATGTGATAGCTATGGAGACAACTTCATTCTGTTCAATCAGCTGATTAAATTTTGCAGTTCATTATATCCATGTGCTGCACATCTGTGACTACCTGGGAAAAAGGGTGTCATATGTTTTTGTGTCAAAAAGCTTAAATTGTTTTTCTTAACAAAGAAGAAATGTTCATGTGATCACTGAATTGTATAACAATAAATATATCCTGAATTCTAGCAAGTAATTCTATGAGTATTCTTTTGAGAGTGTTTTCTTTTTTCTTGGGCTAAAAAAAAGTCAACCCAGCTCCAGTGTTCTGTAGGTGACCATATTTCCTTGCAAACCTGGGAGCAGTCTGTGCATTAGCCTTCTTGCTGAATTCAGTTTGTGTGATGCTTGCTAATTTGTGTGGTCAAGTGAATTTTTTTCCTGCTCTGGACCAAATTCCAGTACACCCTTTGAAACTTCTCCTGCAAAACTGTTGTGAGTGGTCCCGTAAGCAAGTGGGGCTGTATAAACTCAGGCTGGTTTTGCAGCAGCCCAGGGTCTTGGCTGCTGACTGTCYCCCCAGTTCTCTTGTTACCCTCAACAGCTTTGTTTCTTTCTTCCCTTCCTATTAGGAGTAAAYATCAGTATGAGTAGAGTCTGAGGAAGGGCTTCTGTGTTCCCACCAAGAGCTTGCTGACGCAGAGGAACGGTGCGAGGGCAGCAGGGACATCTCGAGCTACCATGGATATCCCCACTGATTTGGTGCCCTCCTCCATGATGTCCCAACCTGAGGTGATTGAGGTGAGTAGACCACAATGAAACTCTGGCAGGTGAACTGATTAAACTCTTTCTTATTTCCTCATTGAATCCTAGCTTTTTCYCCTCTCTCATTTTGAGTCATCAGGGGAATATTTCCTGAAATATTCTATTAAAGATGCTCATCACTTACTAAGAATGTTGTTATACTTTCACACGTGACCTGACTGCGGTATACTACTATTCGTAGAAGAAAATATATGACAAACTGTGATCTTTATTGACGCCATGTAGGTGATCACTGCACTACAGCTTGATTTTTACTGTGCCTAGTAAATACAAAATAGAGGCTGTAATGTGGATATGTTGGAATAATACCAAAGGAAATTCCAGGTTCATTGTTCTTATCTGGAAAGTTTTAAGCAAAACACAGTAATAAAATTAGTAGCACATTTACAATTACTAACACATTAATCCTGCTTTCATGGATTCACTGTGTCTTTCAGACTCATTTATGAAAGTGATTTCTTTAGCTTCTTGTACTGAACATCAAGTACTTGAGTATTCTGATGAAGTAAGAGCTACAAACAGAAAAKGAGATGTCCATAACAGTCAAGATTTAATTTTAGAAAAGCATTTTCAAAGTCGTTTTGACTTCACAGAGACCCAAGGGCCTGTTAAGAYTGAAAACATTTGAGGATGTGTGCTTTACTGAAAAAGACCCCACAGTTAATTAAGGTAGATATCAGAAAATTTTGCATCCTTTTGTTGTTGTTTGCTGGGGATTCTTTGTCTCAGGAGATTTTAGCTCTCAGCAATATGCACTGARAAGTGCAGAATTTCAAAGATCCCTAAACTCTGTGAAATCAGGGAAAAACTTGTCCACTACTGGTTGATGATGTGTTAGGAGCTGAATCCAAAATCTGCTTTAGAGCTCTTACTCTTGTGTTTCAAATTGAGAACTAGGGTATTTTAAAAGTATTTTTTTTGCTTTTTGAGTCTCTGTTACGGTTCCAGAAGGATTTTTTTCTTTAGAGCACAACAGAATACCTGATAGGGGGCGGATGCTGCATCCTTGCATCCCAGGCTGCCTAGCTACCTCCAGACTCCTCTCCCTTTCTGGGGAAAGGCTCTCCCAGGCCAGCCCCACACATTTTCACCCCCATTTGCATCTCTGTGGGTTGCCTCTTCAGAGCCTTCTTTATGTATGAGTGTAGTGGGTTGACCTTGGCTGAGAACCAGCTCTAATCCCCTTCCCAGTGGGACAGGGAACTGAAAAATAAGAAGTAAAACAATTCAGAGGTTGAGATAAGTTTAATAAAGCAAGAGGAAAGTCAAGGTTTGTGTGCAGATAATGAAGGGGGGAAAAAACATTTAATCTCTATTTCCCATTAAGTAGGTAAGCAATGCTCAGCCACTTTCCAGGAAACAGCTCTTCAGCACATGGAACAGCTGCTCTGGAAGACCAACACWGTAAAATAACAAATGCCCCCTACTCTTCCTCCTTCCCTCCCTCAGCTTTTCTATCTGAGCTGACATCACAAGCCACGGAACATTGCTTTGGTCAGTGTGGGCCAGATGGCCTGGCTGTGCCYGTCCCAGGATCTTGCCCATCCCCAGCCCCTTGATGGGGGGTGTGGGAGTGGAATGTTGTAGGGTCAGCGCTGATCCCGCACCAGCAACAGCCAAAACACCGGAGTGCTGACAACACCTTTGCAGCCACCAAGGCAAAGCACAGCAGCTCTGGGGGCTGTTATGGGGAACTCCGGCTCAGCCAGACCCAATACAATCTCCACCCCTTATTCCATACCATTTATTCATAATCAGATCCCATGTAATTCCTGTATCTTTTGACTGTTCCTTTGTATTTATTTCTCATGACTGGAACCCTTTCTTGGAACTCCACACACACAGCTTAAACTGAATCCATAAACTCTCTACTAAACATACATTTTCATTAACTACTCTCCTCTCGCCTTTCACAGAGAGATTATTTTCCTGTTTTATGGGCTTCCTTCATCCCTCCAGGTCTCCATTCCATGAGTGATCATGACAGGCTAAGTGGTACACTTTCTTTTTGGGCACTGAYCCTGGCACAGCCTGGATTGTCATCGCATTCTCCTTGCTCCTTACAAAATTAATTCTCCATCAGTTCACGTCACTCCTGCTGCTTTGCTTCCTGCAACTTACAGCCTACACCACAGGTTATTTTTCCCTCAAAGTCAAACCTYCTTGAGGCACACACCAGGTCTCCCCRTCCTTCCACATTACACGCCAAGTACACCCAGGTTGACTAGGAAGCCAAATAGAAATGACAACAAGAAGCAAAAGAAGGACTGGTATCTCAGTGTGGGAGATCATGGTAAAAAAAATACCATTCTCTAAGCCTTATGTTGTAAAAATAGGCTCAAAATTGATATCTGAGTATGTAAAGACTTAAATTCTTGCGCAAATTCCCATCAGATGTTAATAAATCATTGTGTATATGACAGTTGATGYAAGTCTTCAATCATATATAAAAGAGTGACATCTCCAAACAATCTGCTTGGAGCCACATGAATGTTTGTGAGAGTAAGGAAGACCTTTTTAACAGACACAGACATGGTGAGACACATATGTAAAGAGACAATAGCTAGATTACATATTGCAGTAAAACACTTCTCATACCTGACTGCATCGGTTTTTCCCTTTCATGTTTGTGCTGACATAAATTAATTTTTGGATACAGTTTAGAAAACAACATTGATCACAATACTTTCTTTTTCCCCAGAGGACATTATTTTGCCATTTGAAATTCAGGAGATGCCACGGTGTGCTGCAGAAGTCATTTAGAGACTAACGTTTCAAGGAAGGATTTTTTTTTTAACTTGGAAGTAACTTTGCATGCCTTTTGCATGAGCTAGATGGTATCTCAGTTACAAAAAGGAGAGCTGTGCTACTTCACTTTAGGCTTTTTTTTTTTTTAATAACCCTTTATCTTTAAACTTTTGGCATTGCCAGCATAGTTGGCTTCCTTCGCATTTGGTCAATTTAGACTCATGAGTAAATACTATCTATTTTGTATACCTACATAAGTATATGTACACATGTTTATACGTTGCAGTAGTAAATACTCCTCTGCTTATCATCAGTCCTTTAGCTGCACCAGGCAAACAAGCTTATTTTCCCTGGGAGAGAATCTCAGTGGCCTCAGCAGGACCTTTTGCAACCCAGAGCTCCCTCTGGCAGGTTTTTGGATGGGCTTCAATCTTACAGATGCTCATGGTGGTAYCACAATAAAAGGAGTTCCTGTTAATTTAGTGGCAAATGGTATTTTTCCCAAGATTTATCTTCTGAGCTGGGTAACAAAATATTCACATTTTGAAAATGTATTTGAAGGTTTCTTCTTTGTATCAGATGTGAAATTACTAATACTGTTTTGAATATTCTCACYGCTAGTGTGTCAACATAGGACCTAYTTCTGGTAATTCCCCACAATTGTGCATTGAAGCAACTCATTTGCCACAGTCATGTTTCTTCATACCCACCCAATGCACTGACTTATCCAAATCTCCCTKCTTCTTTTACACCCCCAAGATCTTGTTACCACACATGAGAGACCTTCATTTAAGGCAAAAAATGATCTAAAATTAGTCACAATAAATCAAAATCCAGTGATTTCTGATTAGTAAGCTGCTCTGTTCTTAAAGAGAGAGAAATAAAATGTGACAGAAATTTCTGATTTTTAACTTGGATGTATTTTGTGTTATTACTTCATATTATTATTTCATACCTCAGCTATGGACAAGCAAWGTGACCCCATAGAAACCTGACTAGTCTGATAATGCAGTAAACAGAATGTTAAATAATTCTGTAAGAAGCATTTAGCATCCCAGAGGACTTTGCTGTTTCCAAAAAAAGAAACATCACAAGTGGTGACCCATGCTGATGAAAGTACTCTCTGAAGTGACTCGAATTTTCTCTCTTTGTGAATGGCATGAGATGAATTCTACTTTARAAACTTTGAAGAAGAAATTATGTGATCTCCAGTTGCTTAATGAACCAGGGACTTCCAACAGTGCCTCAGAAATGCTTAAAACAGAAAAAAAMCAAAAAAAATTCATCGGTCTGGCCTTTGCCAGCAGCGGATCCTACCAGCCAAATACTAGAAGCAAATGAGTACATTTAAATAACTGCCYTGCAGCTGTTCCAAAGAGAAATCCAAAGCAGTTTCCATTAGAGTGGCCTTTCATGGCCAGAGCCAAAAACCACTTTTCCCACTCTGTGCCATTGAATACATCTCTATTTTCTCTGCTTTTTGTTTGAATTGGAGTGGAAGAGATCTAAACTATGACTGCCACAGAATGGTTATCCTTTTCATAATATCCTTGAGAACAGACTGCTGTGGGATGGCACAGCTGTTGTCACCCCTTTCCCCAACAAAGTGCAACACAATTTGCGTTTTGGATTTGGTGCCCAGATTTCTACAGTGTGTGGATTTTTTTCTCCCCTTTGAGCTGAATAAACAAATTAGCCTGGTTACCAAAACAGGCCTCTGGTGTTGGGTAAATCAGGTAAACAAGAGGACAAAAGGAAATGGTGAGTCTGGAAGAAAGTTTCTGATTAAAAGTATATCCAACCAGTTACAGACATCATAGGGGAAACTAAAATACCAGTATGGTTTTCTTCTTTTTTTTGATTGTTTTACTAGATGAGCTTACTGGAGGTTCAAAATGCATCTCTGTTGTGTTTAAAGTAGACTAATACTGTCTTGCAGGCAAGTGTTCAGTACTGTGTGAAAAAGTTACTTACAGAGACCCCATTGTTTCTAAAGCTCTGAGACAAAGATTTTTCTATACTCTGTTTATGTATTTCACAAATTTCTCAGTACATCAAAGCAAAAGAAAGCCAATTTGTCTAACATATATTTAATGAAAAAAAAATGTATTTGCTATGGTAAACTCAGAATAATCTTATTATTGTCATCTGTAAATCTCTATTTCCAGTCCCAAAATGAAGTTTGCTATTCTCATTAACATGACCATTTTGCTTGTAGTCTGAACTCT